CCCCTCTCCGGAACCCCCCCAACCGCTGCGCTGACCCACGGCTCCCCCGCTTCACCTCCCCGCTGCCCCAGGGACCCCCAAACCGACCCCCCCCGCTTTGCCCTTCCCTGGCCACCCTCGAGCCTCACAGACCCCAAACACCGCCCCGAGCCTCACAGACACTAAAACCCCCTGAGCTCACAGACCCCAAAGACCCCCAGAGCCCCCTGCCCCAGTCTCCAACCCTCCCTCCGTCCCAGACCCCCAGTGCCCCCCCGAGTCTCACAGACCCCAACCCCGCTCCCAGACGCCCACCCCACTCTCCAAGCCCTCCCCTCCCTCCCAGACCCCAAACGACCCCTCAGAGCCTCATGGACCCCAAACTCGCCACGGAGCCGTGACCCCCCGGCCCACGGCCCCCGCTCCCCCTCCCAGCCCCGCCCGTCCCCTCCCCTCCCACGCCCCTCAGGCCTCCCCGAGCCCACCTTCTTGACGGCGGCGTTGAAGGCGAACTCCCCGGCCTCCTTGAGGTCGAGCCAGATCATGGGCATGCGGGGCACGGCCTCCATGGCGGCCCGGCCGCTCCCGGCCCCGCTCCCGGCCCCGCTCCCGGTGATCCCGCTGATCCCGATCCCGATCCCGGCCCGCCGGAACCGCGCGGGGCCTCACGGGACACCGAGTCCGCGCGACACTTCCGGAGCCGTTCCCATGGCGACGCCCCGCCCACCGTCGGGACCACGCCCACTCAGGGAGGGACAATAGCTGTTGCCATGGCGACGCAGCCCACGCTGATAGGCTGAAGCGGGTGTAACCATGGTGACACCTCCGGCGCTGACTGGAGGAGACAGGTGTAACCATGGCGATGCCCCGGGCGCTGATTGGAGGAGACTGGTGTTGTCATGCGAAGCTCCGCCCGCAGACAAGAGGGGCGGCTGCCATGGCAACCTCCGGTACCAGGCCCTGTCAAGTCCTCCCCGCACGGGCGCCGTTAATTACCCTGTTAATTACCCCTTTCCTCACCTCCCGTGACGCATATTGAGGCCTCCAGGACCCCTCGGTGGTCCGGGGGATGCCCCATCCTCTCCCCAGGCCTTTTCCAACAATGTGGAACAATCACAAAAACGGAGTTTTTACCCTACAACATTCCATTCATTTATTGAACTCGTTAATTGAATTATTCGATCCATTAATTAATTAACCCATTAATTTATCTGCCCCATTAACTGAATCACTTGACCCATTAATTGAATTATTCCATCCATTAATTGAAGGATTTGATGAGCTCTGGCACAGGAGCAGCCCCTCGAGAGCTTCCCAGATCCCAGAGGGACTGGAGCCATCTTCTTCCAGCTGGGAAAACCCCACTCAGTTTTCCCAGCCCACTTGTCCTGTTTTTTCAGGCATGGGGACACCAGGACATGGGCACAGGGCCCTGGGGACATCAGGATCCAGGGATACTGGGACACTGGGCTGTAGGGACATCAGGACCTGGGACACAGAGACAGTGAGTCCAGGTGACCCTAGGNACACCAGGACATGGGCACAGGGCCCTGGGGACATCAGGATCCAGGGATACTGGGACACTGGGCTGTAGGGACATCAGGACCTGGGACACAGAGACAGTGAGTCCAGGTGACCCTAGGTGTCCCCATGTCCCCCTGTCAGGGACATGGGGACACAGGGAGAGTCCCTGCTCCCTGGGAATCCCCACTCCAGCACCTGGAGCCCCTCCCTCCAGTCCCATTTTATCCCATTTTTACCTAAAACAGAAGGAGACAAAGGCTCTCAATTGTAAATTGGAAAAATCATGGTTTCACGTTTAATTCCCTGGTTCTGGTGCAGCTGGATCCACGTTCTCCCACGGGGAAAGTGCCCCGTTGCCCCAGCTGCTCCTTCCATCCACGTCTGCAGGATAAATCCCTGGGGGACGAGGGCGCTGGCACAGGGAGGGTGGGATGAGCCGCCCAAGCCTGGTGCAGGTGACAGGGTGACAACCCTCCCCTGGACAGGGGGTGACACCAGATGGATCCCACGGGGATGGGAAGTGTCCCAGAGCAGCATTCCTGGGGGATTCCAGCTTTAATTAACTACAGCTGGGTTAATTACGGTGACAGAAGCACTGCACCCACTTCCTGGGCCTTCCTAAATCCTTCTGGATCGCTGGAGCAGGAGCCTGGAATGGCAAAGGGTAGGAAGGTCACTGGCCCTGCCTGGGGGTTCCGGGGGTTCCAGGGGTTCCCCTCCCATCCCCCTGGATCAGGGGTGTCCGGGGGTTCCATGACCACTCCCGGGAAGCGCCGGGAGAGGCCTCAAACGTTCCCAGTGTACTCTGGCAGCACTGCAGGAATGGCAGAGGCCACGCCAGGCCCCCCCACGCTGGAGCCTGCGGCAGCAGGGGCTGTGGGATCCCGGGCACGGCCAATCCCAGGCTCTCCAGAACCGTGGGAAGCTCTAGGAAGGCGCGGCCGGAGCAAGGGGTGACACGAGGACAGCCTGGGAACGCAGCCCCCCAGCCCACGGGGTCACCGGGAGGGTCCCAGTAGCCAACACCACCCCCCCCCAGCATTCCCGTGGGATCCCAGCCCCAGGGACTCCCTGGGCGGGGCTGGCAGAGATAATTCCAGGGAATGAGGGAATTACCAGGATGGGGCAGAGCAGTGACAGCTCACCTGGACACGTGGTGACTCCGGAGAAATCCCGCCGGGATGGAGGGACAGGGCTGGGTCCCGGGTCCCCCCCCACAGGAGGGGCTGAGCCCTCGGTAGCGTTAATTAGGTAGCATTAATTAACCACAAGAAGGCCAGTTTCGGTGATAGGTCCTCTGAATCCACCTCCTCCTTCCCGATGGCTTCCTCGACGGGGCTGGATCCCCAGAGCGGGAGCCTGGAATGGGAAAGGGCAGGAATGTCCCCGGCCCTGCCTGGGGGTTTCAGGGCTCCCCCCGTGTCCCCCCCACCAGATCCCTCCCGGGCCCTGGGGGTGTCCGGGGGTTCCATAACCGCCCCCGGGAAGCGCCGGGAGAGGCCTCAAACGGCCCCGGGATACTCTAGCAGCGCTGCAGGAATGGCAGGGGCCACGCCAGGCCCCGCCATGCTGGAGCCTGCGGCGGGAAACCGCTCCCGATCCCGCCGGGATCGCCCCCGGATCCCGTCGGATCCCCCCGCCGCCCTTCTCAGCGTGCACCGCGCCTACCGCC